TGTGCAGCTTTCCCATCCAAATTTTTTACAACATTCTGCATATTGGGATTGTGACAGTATGTGATTGCACATCTCAAATCTAGAAAACATGCATGCAATATGCAGAATTGTTTACGGTATAGGGTTTTATTAAAGAAGTACCCTTATCTGCCAGAAGCTGAAAATGCGAACATCGCCTCCTTGTGCTGCAAAATGTGCAGCATTCCATCCCTGTGTAGTTACAGTTTTGAGCATATCGGGATTTTGTGACAATATGTGTTGACAAATTGTGTATTTATTATTAGAACATGCAATATGCAGAATTGTCTGATGATCTTTGTGGTTTCAGTTAAAGTGGCACCTTTGCCTGCAAAAGATTAAAATGTAATATTTCCCCTTTGAAAAATGTGAAGCTTTTCCCCCTTTTCGTAACCTAAAAATTGAATCAGGAATTTTTTTAGGATACATTTTGTATTTCCAAATTCCGTGCGAGACAGAAAGGATTAATGAAAATCCAACCTTATTTTTAGAAGAATGAACTCCCTGTACATATTTTTCTCAATTTAAATTTTCCCTTATCAAAAAAAGAAAAAGATTGAAAATAATATACAAAATTTAAGGTTTCCTAATATGATTTGTATATGTTGATAATGCATTTGTCTTTAATTTGCTGGAGTTATCGCGTTTGAAAAGTAATGATTTTCTCTGTCATTGCGACGTCACAATGTTAAAACGACATCAATCTGTAGGCGACTGTGAAAAGTGGTTGTCACTATCTTACTTGAACAATGAACGCCTGTGAAGTTTAATGTATAATTTGGAAATTTCCCTTTAAAGTATTTATGAAATTTAAAAAATTTTTATAAGACAATAGATTTTCCCAACTTCAATATATTTTGCAATTGGATTGATTGTTTTAGTATAAGGAGGGAAATGGCTTAAAATGAATTTTTTTTTACCCAGTGAAAACAAGCGGGGGAAGAGAGGTGCCCTTTGCTAGGCAATTTTTTATGAAAGATTGTGAAGTTACAGCCAGGAAAATGGTTAATATTTACAGTAACATCTTGATGAAATCCCTAAATTATCGTTTAATTTAGACTTTTAACATATTAAATATGAAAAAAAATTCAACAATATCAATAATTGATAAACGACGTTCCTTACATAGAGATCTCGGGTTGTGATAGTCACATGTTCTTTAAAAATTGATATCCTTATCCAACCATCCAATTCCGGGGGTTTTTTCATTTTTAACAAAGTGATTGTTCTTGCTATAAACATCAACTTTAAAGCACGTCACGGGGCCGCCTAATAACGTGATTCGCGCAGGGGCAGAACGGTGGCAGGCATGCATTAAAATTAGAGAGGGCTACTTTAAAAAATGAACACTAACACGTAATTTTAATTCTTTTATTAATTTGTTCGCGAACTTTTTGATCATCTCTCGTATTTTTGTTTATGGTACCATAATTAAATTTAACTTTTTTGATTCAACTATGCTACCGGGTTAAATTGGATTATTTAATGTAAATTGTCCATGTTAAACGCTTTGCCAACATCAAATACACAGTTGGCATACACTGTCTTTTTTTTGGGAAATTCAAATTTGAAATTTTTTCTAATATCATTTGTGTGTGTGTTCTTTGTTTATCTGTTTTCTTAAAACTAGGAGAATCTGACAAGTTATACTACATGTAATATGGTGATATGTTGCATGTCTACTAATTATGTTTTTATGTTAATTATGTTTTTTATTTTGCTTTTGGGGGAAAAAATGCCACCATATTGTATACGTGTAGATTTAATACTTGCCCCCTTCAACTCGCCATTTAATATATCGACACTATTGTCAATTAACAATGGAAACTTCTGTAATGATTAAAAGTAAGGACCATTACTTTGTATTGTATGTTGTTTAGATTTATCGCTTATATTTTGTTTAAGTTATCACTCTTGTTTAAAAAACAAACTGAAAACAGCCATGTGTTGTCCATGTATGGGTCATAAATCATAATATAATCTCTGGAATCTACTAATCAAGGCTAATGCATTGGCGACGAGGATTGAAAAATTTATGAAACAGGATGGCTCAGTTAGTAACGACCGATTTGGCGGAATTCCTCCTTTTGATTGTGATGGGGAGCCGACAAGTGTAGGGGTGAGATGGCAAAAATGGGAGAGCTTTTGAGTAATTTGCAGCCGGTAAAGGTATCAAAAAACGGCACAAAAGAAAGATTTGTTATTACATTGTGGAGGTATGAAAATAGGATATTTATTTTCACATTTCCCGCGCCTCGCAACCCGAAGGAGATGAAGCAGTGTGACAACCTGGAAAAACTTACAAATCTCCGCCCCAAAAGTAAACCCCTTCGAAAAGGGATAATTTTAATTGTGACACAGAAAAACCAATGCAAATGTTTATAATTTTAACTCAATTGAAACAGAAAACTGAACATTGTAATTTTGAAAAGCGAACGACATTTTTGGGGTCAATATGAGAAATTAAAACGTCACACTTCTTAGGAAATTACTGGAAAAAGGGGGTGAACTGATACTTAGAAACGTTAAATATAGGGAAGGGGTTTTTAACAAGTCAACAACAAGCGAGCGTAATTGAAGGAAAAAAGGAATTCAGAAACTTTTGTGAATAAAGTAAGCACAGGGAAACACAAAAAACATGACTTGTTATAGTTGTGGCAAAGGGGGAATTTTGTCGACCCAACATGCCCTGCCCGGGTAAAATGCCAAAGTGTTCTGCAAGGTATTTCGCTAAGTGCTAAAAATTTTCTACACCTAAGACTCACAAATATTGGGACGGGGAAACAAAAGCAAAAAGACTGGTGGAAACACAAATCCCGGGATTTGATGAAGCTAATGCATTTACATTAACTCCGGACAATTCACAAGGAACTCTTGAAATGCCAACAGTTGGGGGACCAAATCACCCAACAGTGACCAAAAAAATTGGGGGGATTATAAGAAAATTCAATGATCGTCGACTCTGGTGCTAGCAATAATGTCATTGACCGACTTCTATGGGAGGATCTAAAAAGGGGATTGCATTTCACAGAGAACAAAAGGATCAGAAAAGAAACTTTATTTGGGGGTTTTCCAAACCTTTGGACACTATAGGAAGTTTAATTGTGGATATTGCGGGGAAATTTATTGTGTTCCAAGGTAAAGGACAGGCCTGTTGGAACATAAAACGGCAAAAGAACTCGGAAATCGAGCGTGAGCATGAAATTTCCTGTCGGAGGACACTATTGAAAAGATGAAAAGTACTTTAACGGTGTAGGAAAGTTGAAGAACTTCAAGTTGATGCTACACATAAATGACAATGATACACCCGTGGCTCAGCCGGTCAGGAGGATTCCATTTGTTATCAGGGAGAAGGTTGAAGCCTAACTTAAGGAGTTGCAGGATATAGATATCATTGAGCCGGTCGGGGGACCATCATCATGGGTCAGCCCTATGGTTTTTACACCCAAGCCGTAGGAAATATTCGTCTATGCTCAACTGGATAATAGGCAATCTGGGGGCATCCAAACCCTACCATTGATGAAATTGTACACGAGCTAAACGGGAGTTGTGTTTTCAGCAAGTTGGATCTGGTTTACATCAATTAGAGCTGTCTCAAGAATCTCGTGACATCACCACTTTTGTTACTTACGTTGAATTTTCGTTATAAAAGACTTAGTTTTGGTGTCACTTCCCCCCAAAAATTGACCAGCACACCATCCAGAAGCACTTCAAGGATGGACGGAGAAAGAAAATGTCGGACACATCATTGTGCATGCCAAAACTTTGGGAAAGAACATGACCCAATTATTAGCTGTCATTGAGAAACTGGGTAACAAAGGATTGACATTCAACAAAAAAAAATTAATTTCGTTGGAAATGAATTCTGGGACACATCTTATCAGATAAGGGAATCGACCCAACCAAAAGTTAAAGCTATAGTAGAAGCTAGACCACCAATAAACGCATTAAAAGTCAGAAGTTTTTGTGGAAAATTTATTCCTTACCTAGCGACATTGTCCAAACCCCTTTAAGAATTAACAGGGAAAAATCAACCATTTAATTGGGGCCCTATTAAGACCAAGCATTCAGAAAGCTGAAAACAAGTTTATCGAAAGCCGTTACATTGGGGAAACTCGATCCAAAAGCAAAAACTAAGTGATTGCCGATGCCCTCCTTGGGCCTAGGTGCAGTGCTTGTACAGCTACAGAAAAAGTGTTATTTGATTCAAAGTAAAAGTTTGACAGATTGAAGAAGATACTCCTAGAGATAAAAAGAGGCATTAGCGCTGGTTTGGGCATGTGAACGCTTTTATATGTATTTGTATGGATGCAAATTTGATCTGCTTACAGACCATAAGCCTCTACAATTGATTTACAGCACGAAGTCAAATCCGTGTGCGCGCATCCAACGATGGAATTGAGACTTCAACCTTTCCAGTTCACGGTAAAGTACATTCCTGGACACAAGAATGCTGCTGAGTACTATCTCGACTGTGTATCTATAAATCGATACACCGTCACCAAGTCCACTATCTGAGGATTTTGTAAGATTCGTAGCTCTTAACACGATACTCAGAACCTTGACGATTCAGGATCGATGTGGAGAGAGAGAGAGAGAGTCTGCTGGAGATTTCGAGTTACACAGAGTTAAAGAAGCGTTACAGACTGGAAATTGGACAGATTGTTAGAAAAGCTACAGTACATAGCTGTCCAAAATGAACTGTGCAGTATAAGAAAAGTTATCCTCAGAGGTACGTTCTATCTGTGATTCCAACCAGCTGAAGAGAGAAAGTTTTAGCCGCTGCTCATGAGGGACATCAAGGAATCACTAAAACAAAATAACGACTCCGAGAGAAATCTGGTGGCCAACGATTGACAGTGATGCGGAACGTATTTGAAAGAATTGTTACACATGTCAAGTGTGGGAGGTCCGTCGTCACCTGAATCTTTACGCCTAAATTGCTTCCAGATTATCCCTGGCAAGCTACAGCAGTCGATCTAATGGGACCTTTTCCAACAGCAGAATCAGGATTGGTGTATGTGGACTATTATAGCCGTTTCTTTGAAACTTTTATTTTGAAGAACACAGGATCAGCCAAAATCATCGAATGTCTGGAGGAAACATTTGCTCGCTATGGTATTCCTGACAGTCTAAGAAGTGACAATGGAGCTCAGTTTCAATCTACAGTATGTGAGAAGTTTTTAGAGGAGTATGGCATCACCCATGAAACATCAACACCTTATTGGCCGCAAGCTAACGGAGAGGTGAGCGACAGAATAAGACCTTATTTAAAATATTAGGACCGTTCATTTTGAAGGGAAGGATTGGAAAGGATTACCAAAATTCCTATCAGCTTACAGAAGCACACCGCACACAGTAACTGGAATTGCGCCGAACAAACTTATTTTCCGATATCAAGTGAAAACAAAGATTCCCAGCCTCCCAGAGAGAGAGAGAGACAGAGAGAGAGAGAGGAGGAAAAGACATCCGAGTTAGAGACTGGATGAAAAGAAGAAAGAGAAAGAATATGCAACCAAAAGTAGAAACGCAAAAAACAGTCAAGTACAAATCGGAGACCAAGTGTTGGTTCAACAGCCAAATAAAACAAACTTTCACCTGATTTTGAAACAAACCATACGAAGTCATCGAACGAACAGTAAACGAAGTTCTGCTGAGAGCACCACATGGAGGTACATATTGTCGCAGAAAAGCAAGTGAAAAACCTGGAGTTAGATAGTAATATCCAACTTGACAACACAGATGAGGCGACTGATGTAGACGTTTCACAAAGTGACGTGCCAAACGAGGAGGTGAACAACCCTACGATCAATGATATGGAAGACCCTAATATCGCGACCGACCATGGAAAATTTTTCCCTGTTAAGTCCGTTCAGGAACGTGGTCCAAACTGTGTCAAAGACTTTTTTTTGACATAATGTGAAATTTTACATGTATGAACATTTAAAAAATTTAAATTTTTTAATGTTGCTATTTTTGATTTTTATTTTGATTTGATTTAAAGAAGACATCATTTTTTAGTATTGACATTTTATTCAAATTAATTTGTCTTATAGTGGAAATTTAGAAAAGGGGGAATGTAATGATTATAAGTGAAACCTAAATTTGTATTGTATGTTGTTTAGAGTTATCGCTTGTATATTGTTTGAGTTTTGCTTTGATTAAAACTTGAAAGCATCCATATGAGTTGTTCATGTGATGGGTGAAGAATCATAATATAATCTCTGGAATCAAAATCAAGGCTACTTCAACTTCCACTCCTACGTCGATACGATATATCCTGGTGAACTTGAGATAAAAGATACCACAGAGTCTGAAACTTTTTATACTTGGATATTTTACTTGAAAAAGACGTTAATGGTAATCAAACAACCAAGCTATATGATTAATGTGATGACTTTAACTTTTCTATGCACTTCCCTTACTTATGCAGCAATATACCTTCATCACCTGCATACGGAGTATATATATCTCAGTTGATTCGATACGTAAGAGCATGCTTTGTTGAACAATATATAAAACGAGGTAAATTATTGACAAGAAAGTTGATAAAATAGGAATATCAGCAGTTTCTTTTAAAGTCATCATTTCGCAAGTTCTATGGTCGATACAATGACCTTGTCAGCGAATACAATTTATTGTTGAGTCAAATGATGACTGACGTTTTTCATACCAACTGTTAGTCCATTATTTATACACTGAATTGACGACGGATTTTTCCATTATTTCCTGATCACGACAAGGAGCACACGGCGGGTGTGCCAGTCGGCGGGGGATTCACCCCTTTATGGTCCCTGACCCCCTCTATTTTGGGGGTCCGTGTTTGCTCTGCGCTTATGCTTTCGATTATCAAAAATCTATGCAAGTAAACTAATCGCGAAACACCTCATCTTTACGTATGTGACATAACATTTACATTTATTTTTTGTTAAAATTTGTCACCATTCTATTGATTTTATTATTGAATATATATAATAACTATTTAAGAGCCTTTCTCTGTAATGATTTAAATTTTAAAAGGAGCTGTGCACGCATAGTCTGAATTTCTCCAAACTCTCTATGATAAAAGGCATTGATACCCTAACTGAAATCAGGAAAAATTGGTTGTATGTTTTATCGTTACCATGGCAACATGTTTTAAAGTTCGAAAAATGGCATTTTTAAACATGTTTAGAGCCCCATAGTTAATATCTGCGGCAAAGCAAACAATTGTTAATGACTGTTTCCAAAAGTTGAAGGTAAGATGTCTCAAATGCATGATAAACATGTTTGTTAAATGAACTATTACATACGTAACTATGGTAACAAACTATTCAAAAGTAAAAAAAAATATTCATTGAATTTTATGAAGTCATACTCGTAAAAATGAAAAGCAATTATAGGCTGAAATGTTACCAAATAATAGAAAAAAGAGCCTTGAAACACATACCAAGAAAAAATATATTTTTCATTTTGGTTGGCAATGGTTGCCAAGGCTTTTATGCCCCAGAGAGCCTTCAAAGTAACACTATGTATTTATAAATATAATCCTATCTTTAAACAAAAGCACATTTCGTCATAACTAATGGTAAATTTTATAAGATGTTGGTGTGCTCCAAATTTTCCCATTTCAAAAAATTTAGATTAGTTCTTTAAATAGAGCGTTGCTATGGAAATGCAGAAAATATATCAAAAAACCTGAAAAATTTTTGTTTCCTTGGATATTACCCTTAAATGTAATTCCCAAAACTTTTATGATTGATATTTATTAACAGCTAACTTGACTTTTAATTTTACTATCATCCAATCTCTAAGTGGATGCAAGAAGTTGGCACACAGGGTTTAATATTGATATAAAGTTCAAAAAATCGAACATTTTCCCTTCTTGGTAACCATAGCAACAGTTTTTTTATTCATCAAATTTTATCAATATATAATATTTAACGTCAGTTCTAATAGATAAGACTATTCCAGCTGAGCTCTTTAATTTGTTTTTGATTAAATGGCAATTTAATTCTTAATGGCTAAAAAAATTTTTACTTTTAAGACGGGTACTTTGTTTCCATGGTAACACTCAAAGAAGCAATTATACCAAATTTTTCTTACGGTTTTGGTGTTCAAGGTCCTAAGGATGCATATTTGCCAGTCTTGAATTTTCATGTTTTTCCCAAAACAGTAGCATTAACCCAATCTTAGTTACTGGTTTTGCATGGTTTCACTGTGTTACCATGGCAACCATAAAAGTTATTTAGAGAATAAATTTCTTATACTTATATACTTAAGGTCAAACATTTTCATTGTTTTTTTAAATCAATGATTGAGTTTTAGCATGTAACACCTGTCATTAGTGAATATGGGGTGTTTTTCAGCATATTTTAGCATTTTAAATGTATTCCAAAAGTACCCTTGGTTACCACTTACTTAGAATATTCAAAAATTTCCTTAAAAAGTGACATCAAAGGGGTCATGTTTTTGTTAGAATGGTTTGTTTGCTTTTTCTAGTTTTTATTAAGCCCGTCAGGATTTAAAGTGGCTAAAATTGATTTTTCAAACTTTTCCGGCTGTTTCCATAGCAAGAGAATTACAAGAAATTTTGTTTATTTTGTTTTTGGGGTCAAGTACTATGCATGGGTGAATTTATCAAAATCGGTGACCATGCGTGGCAGCGAAGTTTAAGTGGTTACAGAGAATGGCAATTAAAAAAAGATACACATTGAGAAAAATTAAATTAAATTTCAATATGTCTATTTTAATGGCTACAAATGGCTACAAATATAATTTATCTAACCACATTTTAATTAAATTGATTAGTTTTTTAAATTGATATTCTATGTTGGCACCGCAGATATCCTATGAAACAAGTACTTTTTTTAAAAAATCAATTAATTTTCATATATCACTAAAGTTTTATTTCGCACATTTTCCATAATATGTTGTATAGTGTCAAGCTAGAAAAATGAACTCTTTAAAAAAATAATTCAATGTAGCATTTAAATGTGACATTTTTCCTAAATTTCATGTGACACATGTGCCATATATATTTAACACGGCAATTATTCTGAATATTTAAAACACCTCAAGTTAAAATTCGTAAAAAGATGCTTTTTCTTAATAACATGACAACATTTTTAAGAATTTAAAAAAATTTTTTAAAATTAGTTTGCAAAAGTATCACAAATTGGCCATTCTACGAATCCTTTAAAAACTTTGTGAAACTGAACCTCCATACTTTGTGACACAGCAACTTATTCAATTTCCTCACAAAAAATCGGCTTTAGAAACCTAACATAATTACACATCAACACACAACTTGCTTTTTTTTAAATATAGGTCTCAACACACAAAAGGATTATTGAGATGCAATTTCAAAATTTATTTAGGTCATGGTATTATTTTCTAAGTAACCAAAGATATTTCATGCTCATTCCGTATTTTACAAATTAAAGCCATTTTATTTTTTTAATTGCACGTCGAGCAACCTTACTGCAAACGATGAAAGGATAAGATTTTGTAAAAGAGCTAAAACCACAATTTTTTAAATCGGCCTAATGTTTTAGGGAAAAAAAAAGTAGGGGGAAAAAGGGAAAAATTTTTCGGAAATATTATCCATATGTATCTATCTTGAATAGTTTACGCCAAAATTTTCATTTGATGACGTCATATTTGTACAAAAAAGTTAAACACGTGAACTTTGCCACTTTTTTTCAAAATTTAGCATTTTTTTCGCTTTTATTCAAATTTTTGCTATGGCCACACCCTCTGAACAAAATAAAATTCACACCATTAAAAAGAAAATTAAAAAATGAACAAAAAAAGTGTTATTTTATTTTGTTCGAGGGGTGTGGCCCATCGAAATATTTTAAATTTTTTCCCCAAATTCTTTGCATGCACCGACCACCAAAATGGAAAAGTGGGAGTTTACCCATATCAATTAAAAAGAAACAAGATTCTATGCTGCTTTTGTAAATTTTAATTAGTTTTTAGATGCAAATATACCATTTATTGCAAGTTATTTTGTGTTGTGGTGCAAAAAAAAGTACGTTATTAAGTTCTCGGAGTCTCTATAAGCATGACTGCATGAAGATGCAATAATGGTGATCTTCCTAACCCAAGACTTTTTAGTCAAGCGCAGCTGATCTATTTTTTACATTATCATTGATTATGCTGAAATATTTTTAAAAAAATAATACTCTTTCCCCCAAATTTTATTTTTTTACAAACAATGTATTGATGTTTTTTTCCCCCCATCTCGTCTCCATGGTTACTATGTAATCAAAGGGAGATCACCCGAAAAACTTATTGTCCCCAAAGTCGGTTAACCTAAAATATTTTTTTAACATAACAATTACATGGTAGCAATTCCAGGATGTATATATAAACTGAAAATTATTGTTTTACCCCTTTAAAAAACACAAATGTCGTGAAGTCTGCATCAACTGGATTCATAAATGAAAAAATGATTTACGTTTGGCTGAGTCAAGATACAACGAAAAAGCCACGGGCCCACCCA